ATTTTCATGTAATGCTTCAAATGTGAATATCTTTATTGCATAAGTGACCCTATTCCCTTGAGGGAGGTATGCGCTCTCTGAGTGAATTTGTCTAATATGTAACTTCTGCTTCCATCAGTGTCAGGGTTCTTTAGGAATTTCAAGAAATCCTAATTTCCAATAGCTTGCATGAGTAACTTCCTTCTGTTAATGTTATATGCTATTACAAAAGTCAAAGAAAAGATTAGGATATTTTTTAATTGCATTGCCTGTGGAAAAATCAGAGAAGATGGAGAAAATCGAAAAAGTTCATCGAGATGCCTACAGAAGCGTATTGTCAAAGTACTGACATTTAACACTAGGTAGTACCCTAGAGCTACTAGACTCCCTTTGAAGAAAATGGAAACTGGACTACGTCTCTCTACTCTCGGATGAGAAAGGACAAAATACAAGTGATTTTACTAGGCAATTCCCAAGTAACAAAGGAGGACAGGAAGCTACAAAAGTCAGAGGTGCTCCGAAACCTATTTGTGAGACTTCTTAATCTCGAAGCAAATCAGCAAGCAGTTACAGTTCCTTTTCTGAGTAAATTTGTGGAGATATTCAGCAATATGCCCTTTCCGAACCTATTAAAGTTTCGCGCCGTCCCTGTTCAACAGTTTTGCCAGACAAGCATGAAATGGTGGGGTTAGTTTCGTGTCAGATCGTGGGCTGACTGAGCAAAGCGATTGAGACTGGGAACCCTTTTGTCACGGCCAAAACAAAAACTTGTCAAACGTGTTTCGAATTCTGTTTCGAACATGTGCTTAATACCACATTTTTTGTATAGGGTAAGACTGATTCGAAGCTTCTGTTCATGGCATGACTTTGTCCATCATCACTGTACACTGCCTGTCCAATCAGGTATTGCATTAACCATGTAGTTACTGCCGATCGAAAGCCCAAACCCATGCTTGTTCCTTTCCTCTCCTCAGAAGCGACGGAATACATACAAATACACTTCTGTAAACTGTAAACGTCACAAGCAGCTCAACAAATTATGGCAAAGAGAGTGACTTTTTTGTGATGACGCCTTAAAACGCACAGATTGTGAAAAACTTATGATTGGGCTACAAGAGAATATGAGAAGAGGCAGGATAACCATTGAAGACTGAATAAAGCATGCGAGATAACCATTTTAATACTGAACTTAAATAATTTATTTATCTAAGCTTATCATTGGTGAGATACTTTACACGTGACAAAGAAATCAATTCTCAAATCAAGTAAAATCCAAATATATTTTGATGAGATCCTGGTCACGTCCTTTAAGTTTCGCAGAAATTTAACAAAATTTTCTGCTTTTTTTTACTCAGGTTTCGCAAACAGTATAGTACGTCCAAACTGAGCTTTAAAATGTAGCTTACCGAGGCCCAGCAGTACTCCAATTGCAAAATCTCCCTTTCATTCAAATCAGCTGACACCTAATAATACTGTTTTCATATGCATGGCATATGTAAAAACTAATATGTCCAATCATAAAATACATTTTTTTCTTAAATCTTTGCCGGTCTCATACCACCCACCTTCTTACCTTAAACAAACTGGCACATATGGACGAAAAAAGATTAATACACAACGCGGTTAAGAGTATAGCGATAATCTTTCTACAATCTCTCCTTGTCACACACTCTTTCTCCAATACACTACTCATACTCTACTTACTTCTGTCGGCCCCTTTAGATGGTGACGAGACGAAAATTTCCATGACGCCTCATATCGAATTCAATTCTTCCTCAGCATGGCTTTGTACAGAGTGACTTGTTGCAGGACACTCGATCTAGGGTACAAATGATATTAACACTTAAATGTTATAGCAAAATCCGTATATGACTTAAGCCATAGCTTAAGGCAATACATCAATAACTAAAATACTAATACATCTTCAAAATTCCGTGGGTCGATTAGTATGTCAGTGACGTGTTTTTTGAAGCTGGTATTATAGTTGCTACTGTGTGAACGTCTCTGACGTGTCAGGAAGTACACACTGGCTCTCATACTTACGAAATCAAGTGGGAAAGTAAGATACACATTCTACGCGTTGATGCGCCTACGAGGGAATAAACACAGTATGATTAATAGTACACCATCAGTGATAGCCTCAAAGATATTATGAAGCTGATACAGTTGATGGATTGAAGTATAGAATCAAACAGTAAATACAAAATCGCTACGATGATGCATTCGAAGATGCTCGGAATCGACAGCTAAAACTGGTTCAACTACTTTATCACCTCAATCAAGAGCTTTATAAATGATAATCTTAAAACATTTATCGGATACCTCGTACCTGTCCATTATATACACCACATCGCCAGTAGCACGATAACTAATCGAAGGAAGCACTAAGTCAAAACACCGATCACGGATCAGCACCAAATGAATAGACCAGTGCCACAATGAGGTACAGCCTTACACGCAGAACAACAAACTCATCGTTGGGAGGGGAGTCGAAAAAGTTCAATTTCGACACAAGAACCTTCATACTTACCGCGGAGTTTGGCTTAGGGTTATCCTAAAATACTTAGTTCTCGTCCTCGCTTCGACGTTTCGATTCATGTTCCGGCAAATTAATGTGGCTTTCACGCTCTGAGAACATAATATCTTTATCCTTTAAGGGAGTGACGACTTATTACACACCTTAGCAATCATTCAGATCGACTACACTGCTCACAACACATAGTACGTTGTGGAAAATCAGACACAACAGATTTCGTAGGTTATATCATATTTCAAAAAGTATTCGTTAACTAGTATCAGATGATTTTCTAACGATTATTTTTCTGTGTAGATATGTCTCACAGCAGTCGGCACCATAGTGGCTGCAGCAGACACAATGATACAGTAGATAAGTAAATAATTTAGCTAAGGTAGATATAGAGATAAGTGCCGTTAAATATTCAAAATTCTACACAGGTAAACGGTTAATTACACTAGACAGTGTAGTCAATGAAATAGAATATGTATTGTAAATGCCTACGTAGAGATACCATAATATATAACAGAGTAAAGATAATAGAGTGGATCGTTAATAAGTATATACTTTTTACATAAAGCTAATTTTAGAGTATAATGTGTGAGTTAACACAACTAATGATCTGTGTGTGTATTCTAAAACTCACCATAACGGATTTTTTGGCGCATGCACTGTATTTTTTGTAAATTTTTTTATGAGATACTCAGATATTTATGCAAAGAGAATAAGTAGTTTAAAATCAATTGTTGAGAATATTTCCCATGCTTCAAATAAATTATTAGTATACAAGCACACTCAGTTATGAATTGTCGACACTCGTTTTAAATAATATGAAAGTTTACAGGTTCTCAAATATAGTATTTTTTGTTTATCATCATTAATAATCATCTATATAAGGAGGATGCGGAGTGCATTTATATGTTATTTCAACTGTTGTTACATTATTTGAATAAATAATGCACTTAATTGGATATATTGTTTTATGCAGCGCATTAAAGAAAGATTTAGTAATGCGATGTGAATCTAGACATATAAATCATCTAGACTCTGATAATTAATATTAATCATATTTTGAATAGTGTATGTTGTACTTCATGTTCATACATCCGATTTCTTGTATCTATCTAATTAGAACGGCTAATAATGAACTCTTTTCTGCGTTAAATAAAGTAAGGCACCTGTACATGCAACACCGACATGGACGCGAAATTTAAAATTCAATGGCGGCCATACCGATCAGACCCTATTACGGTTACCGATCTCATTTATTTCCGTATTTCGAAAAAAGTGTATTCCCGCAACCCCTTGTACAGGTTATGATTAAGCGCTCTTGAATATATGGTGAAAATTATGTGTATGACCCCTTGTTTAGTGGTGTGATGTTGATGGTGTGTGGAAGAGAGGATATGAGTGTGATGTGAGTGTGTAGTGTGATGTGTTGTGTCAGTGCTGATGTGCCCAACAATTAAGGTGTTCAGCCTCAACAAAACGCACTCAAGTCACATACGCATCTCATGGATCATCCTGCTTGCTTTTGCTACTCTTATCACATGCGAGACCCTATAGTAAAGGCGCGTATTAGGAACACAGTCCAATGCGCAGAACCATGCCACGCACAGCATGAACCTGTCTCAAAGCACACGCTCAACCACAGTAAGCGCACAAGAGATACAGCTCCGCCACCACACGATGGTCCCTCCAGATGGCACCTAGGCTCCTTTCTTCACTTCTCAATATATGCACCACGGCACAGATTATATTGGTTTTAAGAGTAAGTAGACGTTGATTTACTTCTCTATCGATCGTGACTTCAACCATAGTGATGATTTTATT